CTCCCCTGGAAATCAGAATACTTGTATCTCCTCGCCAGTGTTAGGAGCAGCTGTTCCTAGCGGCTCCACCCTAGAGGTGGCTGCATCTCATCGGCCCCGCCCCCCCCTTCTTTCACAGTTTGACGTTCCCAGCTCCAGCCTGGAGGAGACGGACGGGGATTCGGAGCTGGCCGAAGGGGAGCTCACCTTGGTGCTGGCCGACGGCCGGCCTGTGCGGTGAGTGGGGTGTGTCGGGGCGGGCAGGGGGCGCTACAGGGTGGGGAGCGGGGGTGGGGGCCGGCAGGGGGGCTCTGTGGAGAGTGGGCGGGTGCTGCGGGGTGGAGGGCTGGCCGGGGTTGCTGCGGGGCGGGGAGCTAACGGGGTGCTGTGGGGCAGGGGGTGCTGTGGGGGCATGCTGCGGGGTGGGGGGCTGGCAGGGGTTGCTGCGGGGCGGGGAGCTGGGCGGCTGTGGCCTGGGGAGCAGCAGGGGGCTCTGTGGAGAGCGAGGGGGAGGCTAACGGGGTGTTCTGGGGCAGGGGGTGCTGTGGGGGCATGCTGCGGGGTGGGGGCTGGCAGGGGGCTCTGTGGAGAGCGAGGGGGAGGCTAACGGGGTGTTGTGGGACAGGGAGCCGGCAGGGGGTGCTGTGGGGTGGTGGCTGGCAGGGCGCTCTGGGGGGCTGCTGCGCGGTGGGGGCTAATGGGATGCTGTGGGGCATGGGGCCGGCAGTGGGTGCTGTGGGGCATGGGGTACTGTCGGGGGGCGCTGCAGGGCGGGGTCTGGCAGGGGACACTGTGGGACAGGGAGCTGGGGGGCTGTGGCCTGGGGGAGTGGGGCAGGGGGTGGCAGTGGGCGCTGCAGGGCGGGGTCTGGCAGGGGACACTGCGGGACGGGGAGCTGGGGGGCTGTGGCCTGGGGGGAGTGGGGCGGGGGTGCTGGGGGGCCGGCTGGGGGTCTCTGACCTGGCTCTCCCCCTGGCAGGCCGAAGCGGGCCAGGGGCTCAGGGCGCCGGCGGCCCCGCCCGTCCCGCTCCCCGTCGCCCCCCAGCTCCCCGGGTGCCCAGGGGCTGGACCTCGACTCGGAGGAGGATTTGCAGATCGACGAGGCACCTCCCCGCAAGGACCGGCGGGGCCCAGCGCCCCCCCAGGAGACTGGCCAGT